TCCCCCCCGCCCCCCCCCCCCAGCACCACCACAAAATTCACAGGACGTCTCTTCCGTTCTAGCCTCACCACACTGAGCTTACTGAAATCAACAATGTTAAATATTTAGCTTCACAAACTCTGTAAAAATGAGTTGTTGTGACCTACAAAAAGAGGTATATACATATCTTACATAATACAATATCTTAAAGGTCATATTTACAAAACAAAAATCTATTCACAGAAACACTGCAAAATTCTGATTCAGAATGCAGTACCTGGCCTTGGGTTTTCAGAAGTTTATTTTCAAAAAGCATTATTGCTCTACCATATAGGCAAAGGGTGACACCAGCACTTAAGAAAAAAAAATCATAGTTCTTGTCTAACAGATTAATGTAGACAAAACCTCAGGAATGTGTCTCCACCATTCCTCAAGACCTCAAGAATATTGCATTTATCCATTACGTTTTAAATAAAGTGCACTCAGCTGCACATTAGCAGGTGAAAATTTTGCTACTGCTGCAATTAAATACTGTCATCTCATTTTCCCTTCTGCAAAGCTATGTGGACATCTGTGGCAATTCCTGGCAGTGAAGTATTACAGGACATAGGGGCAAATAAAAATCTTCATCGGAAGCAAGCCTAGGACAACAAATAGTAAGGACAGAGCAACTCAATACCGTCAGTAAAGGACAACAACTCAAATATCACTTCCACTGGGCAAAGGGTCAACACAGAACTACTGTGGTGATAAAACACTTAAAAGTGGGGACTATTCTCTCTGTCCAATATTGCAACCAGAGAAACCAGACATTCTAATCTCTTGATTTCTCCAATGTTCTCTGGCCCACCTATAGTTATTTAAAAGACTTTGGCTAGCGAGGCAGAAAAAAGTGACAGAAAAGTTTTGTGATCAGTAACACCCCATATCTCCAGAATCCCATCCCTAGTAGGCGGAATGCCAAAAGCATGTGTTTTGAACACCATGATATACTGAAGGAGGGGGTAAAACAGGTAGAAATTGCGCTTCAGCTTAAAATCCAGTCCTGCTCAAATGACATCACTTAGAATACCCTTGATGGAGATTGAAGCTGGTCCTTTCTTCAAGACTGGATGCCTGGAACGATTCCTTCCTTCCCAATAATCCTAGTGCAGTGTCATTTGTACACTGATGTCCTTAGAGGTCCTGGTGCAAAGATGTCAGCAGTATTTCTGTTAGCAACCAGAAAAATCGTGAGTAAAACAGGTGCTTTACACAACAAAAAAAAATCCCTATGTCTCCATTCATGGCCTCCATGTGCCCCTGGCTGACTGACTCAGATTCCTTAGACTCCCCATTACCAATGGTAGCTAAGGGCCCAATGCCTTCAAATCAATGGTTTTTCCGATTATTATATTTTCCAGTTACACATCTAAGTTAAAATCTACCTAGGACCTATCGATTATAGCTGAGGTTTTGGTTATTTCCAGAAAATAAGAAAAACTTTCTTTTTCTGAGTTGGGAGTCTCTCTCTGGCCTAGGCTGCAGTGTGGCCACTGCAGACTCAACCTTCTGAGCTCAGGTAATCCTTCTGCCTCAGCCTCCCAAGCAGCTGGAACTACAGGTATGTGCCACCACAATTTTTTAATTTATTGTAGAGATGAGCACTTGCCAAGCTGCCCAGGCTGGTCTCAAATCCCTAGACTCAGGCAATCCTCTCGCCTCAGCCTTCCAAAGTGCTGGGATTACAGGCGTAAGCCACTGAGCCTGGCATAGAAAATCTTTTTTCTAAGGTTTTCTTAGAAAAAGAAGAGAACCCCCTACCTGATCAGGACCCATGGGCATGCCAGACATGGGCATGGAGTTCATGTTCATCTGTCCCATGTGACTGCTGCTGCCATTCAGGTGCACCATACTGTACACTGCAGGGTTCCCCTGGTGGGCAAACTGCTGCTGTGAGAAGGAGCTGTAAAGAAAGTAAAGTCACCTTCGGAGTCATTTCATCAACATAGGGCATGCACAGAGACTATCGCAATTTTGTCAAATGTTGCTGTATTTATTAAGCTGGGAATGTCAGAGAGAAAACTCGCTACCAGCCTGCAATTCACTTTTCCCAGCTGTCTGTACTCAATACCCTAAAAGATATGTGCATGGTATGAGGGATTCCCAGAATAAACAAACAATGCATCTTCTAATATGAACCCAGGCCTTTTGATCTCTCCACCCAAACAGGCTTTTCTAAAAAATGCAGAGATGAATTTCCTGGACTGCTGGCACTTGGTTGTGAATGACTTTAAAAGCCATTGTCCTTTACCTATTCCTGGTCAAGTTTCCTGATGGCCAGCCCTTCATTTCTGAGGACTGATACATGGGTGCAGTTTGAGGGTGTTGCATCATGGGATTCTGAGAAGGACCCATTCTTGATGACATCATTGCATTAGGAGGACTAGACACTCGACCAAAGGCTGGATCTGGTTGTTGTCCCATTCCTTATAAAAACAAAGAACATAAGAAACAGCAAAGCTCACATGCCTTCTCCTTAGAATATCAGTTTTCTGTAGTAATTTTATGTTTTTTTAAAAGGGGGATGATACGTTTAAGATATAACGTGCTATAAATTATTCTTGATTCTCACCAAAATGACAGCTAGGGCAACCGCTTACTACAGAAAGGCTCCATCGAGGTCACGTTGTGGTCAGTTGCTTCAATGGGCTTTCTGTATCAAGGGGACTCCAGACTCCATCTCACTCTCTTCACATCACTCTGCCCCTCTTCAGAGAGCAGGAGAGCTACTGTCCCCAGATGGTAGGGCTGTATCCTGAAGTGGAAGCTCTCCAATAGACACCTCTACCCCCACTATGTTCCTGAAGCTTCTCAAAGTTGCTGGACTAAAGAGGCATGTGCATCACTGTAATAATAAATCCAGCCAGGCTCGGTGGCTCAGCCTGTAATCCCGCACTTTGGGAGGCCGAAGTGAGTGAATTGCCTGAGCCCGCGGGTTTTGAGACCCGCCTGGGCAACTTGGTGAGACCTCATCTCTACAATAAATCAAAAATTAGCCAGGCGTGGTAGTGCATGCCTGTAGTTCCAGCTACTTGGAAGGCTGAGGCAGAAGGATCGCCGGAGCCCAGCAGGTCGAGGCAGCAGTAGCCGGGAGCAGCCACTGCACTCCAATCTGGGCAACAGAGTGAGACTCCAACTCAAAAATAATAATAATAATAATAATAATAATAATAAATCCAAGTCACCAAGAAAAGGAACTTAGAAGCCCCCACAGTACATTCCTCTCACTGGCTTGCCCAGGCACTCAGAGATTACAGACCTCCCTATACTAGAACACATAAGAAGGGGCAGAGGGAGAACTCTTTTTCTAAGATAAGAGGTAACGGGCTGAAAAAAATAAGACCTGAAGAATTCTCAACTATGGCAGCATATCTCTGCCCCCATTACCTGTGCACTGCAGCAGACATTTTTGTTTTCCAATCTTTTCAATTAATTTCCTTTGCCTTGTGAAGTAGAGAGGGAGTGAACAGAAGTTTTGTTTTTCATGCACAACAGGCCTAGTGAAGGCATATTTTCACTGTCGAGCTTACCGTAATTTGGAGGGTATGGAAACTGCTGTGGTGGAGCTTGTGGCATTGCAGATCCAGCCAAAACTCCATCCATGCTGGGGGATGCTGTCACGTTGGGGGGCGGGCTGAAGGCCTGGGTTTGTGGTGGTGGTGGCGGCGGCGGCGGCGGCTGCTGCTGCTGCTGCTGCTGCTGCTGCTGCATCATCATTGCCACCCTCTGTTGTCGGAAGTGATGACTTAGCAGCTCTCTGCTGCGCTGGGCCACCATCTGGGCATTAAGAAAACCCTGCTAATACCCAAGAAAGAATGCAATGACACACGTGTAGCAAGAACCTCCAGTTTTAAAACATCCAGTACCCCCATAACACAGTAGGTATCAGAAAAGAAACACCCAATGCCTTCCTTTATAATTAAGGGAAAGAGAAAACACACAATTATTTAAAATAAAAGCATTCTGGCTAGGGAGAGCAGTGGAAAGAGTTTAAGAAGAAGAACCTGAAGCCGGGCTTGGTGGCTCAGCCTGTAATCCCGCGCCTTTGGGAGGCTGAGGTGAGTGGATTGCCTGAGCCCGCGGGTTCGAGACCCGCCTGGGCAGGGGAGACCTCATCTCTACAATAAATCAAAAAATTAGCCGGGCGTGGTAGCGCGCGCCTGTAGTTCCAGTTAATTAGAAGGCTGAGGCGGAAGTATCGCCGGAGCCCAGCAGGTCGAGGTTGGAGCCCAGCAGGTCGAGGTTGCGGTGGCCGGGAGCGGCCACTGCACTCCAGTCTGGGCGACAGAGTGAGACTCCAACTAAAAAAAAAAGAAGAGGAACCTGGAAATTATGCGGGGCTAGGAAACAAAAGAGGGCAAGCTGTTACGCTTTAACATAGCTAGAAACATTTGGGGGTGGAATCTGAGCACAGACTACATTTTCAGAAACTATGAGATAAAACTTCAGGAAAGGGAGCAAGATTCAGAGTGTGTTGGGTAGTGGAGGTATGGAACAAGAAGCCCACAAAAAAGAAAATGGGATTACCTCAGGTACACAGGGACCCACCTCGGAAAGTTTTCAGTGTTTAAACCTTCAGGAAAAAGAGGTGGAGGGCGAGGAGAAGCTGGATAGAGGTTGGGGGTGACACACTCAAAGCACTAGCAAGCCAACTGGGGCTGATCACTTCCAAAAAGCAAACTTCTATGATCCTTTTGGAGGACATCCTGCCTCAGCTTACCCAAGATGACTAATTATCACAAAAAATTATCAGTAGGCATAAGACAGTGAAAACTGGGCATTTCAGTTTTTTAAAAAAACAATTATAAACAACATTTCAAATCACAGTGGAGAACTGATGCATAGTCACCTGCCTCATACACATTAAGAAAACACCTTAACACTGTCTTTACTACAGGGGTTACAGGCAGACAGGGCACGATTTTTTTGTTTTGGGTTTTTTCCCAATAGCTTTAGGGGTACAAGTGGTTTCTGGTTATATGGATGTACTGCACTTGACAGTGTTCAAGAAGTCAGGGCTAGCTGGGCTCAGTGGCTCAGCCTGTAATCCCGCACCTTTGGGAGGCTGAGGCGGAAGGATCGCCGGAGCCCAGCAGGTCGAGGCTGCGGTGGCCAGAAGTGGCCACTGCACTCCAGTCTGGGCGACAGAGTGAGACTCCAACTCAAATAAAAAAGTGTGCCGGCCACCTCTACTAGTCCACACTACCTGACAGGTGACTCTTCACCCCTCACCTCCCTCCCACCCTCCCCGACAGGAGAGTTTTAATATCCCTTCCCACTATGGGAAACAGGTCATCTCAGAGGGTGTCATCGAGAATAGGATTATGTATTCTTTATTTTCTTTTTTATATTTATAATTTCAAAATTTTAACCCAATAAGCATGTAGTTTCAAAATCCAAGAACAGAGAAAAATGTACAGATAAGATTTTAAATTCCTAAAAAAGTCAAGCTAGCTATTCTGACAACATAGCACCTGAACACAAAGGGAATTTATTTTTAAAACACTAATCGGTGGTTTTAATGAAAGAAGCCCTCCTCCTGATTCCTTCCAGTCACAAGCAAGAAAAAAGAGTCAAAGAGCTGAAAAGTGAGGATGGGACTGGGTTCCTACACAAGAAACTTGGAATTACTTGTATTTTTTTTAAACATACTTTTATAAGCGCCAACCACAGGCCAAGCCCTGTACCAGACAGGCAAGAGCTAGAGAGAGGCTGGTCATCCTCACCTGGGCGCTCACCTGGGGCTGCATCACAGGCCTCATCACTGCAGTACCACCGGCAGCAGTGGAGCCCTCCATTTTCATTTCAAGTGCCTGCCGGCTCTGATTCAAAAACTGAGTTGAGACAAGCTGGTTAGAACGCAAGGAAAGCATGTTGATCAGCCCAAAGCAGCTCTGCAAACCCTCAGCCCCACCCAGTGAAGTTGTGATGACATCTGCAAGCCAATCTAAACTGAACCAACACACTTCAACCTGTAAAAACGTCAGTGCTAAGTCTCTGGCCAGCACATGAAGCTCTACTGTTTGGCACTGGGAGAATAAGTAAAAGTGCAATTTTGTAGCTTAACGAGTATCTTCAATAGGAACCACAGGATTTATAAAGTCTGGTTTTCTCTGGGATTATTCAGGCACATGGGGGAAATAGCTTTAACTTGATCAAAGTGATTCTGAATAAACTGCTTCCTCTGTAACCTTTCACTACATGACTTTTCGTGCAAAGAACTGGTTAAAAAGTGAAATGAACACATGAACACAGCTTTCCTGAATACCCAAACTGCCTTTTTAAGAATATTTATGCACTAAAGAGTCTCTGGCTCATTGAATCCTAAACTCAAGCACTCATCTACTTATATGGTTTGGTTCTGCCACATTTAATAACTCAAACCTCTCAGGCACAAAAATAGAAATAATTAAATTGTAAAATATTTGTTGAGGACTAAGGAAACAACAGGGAAAACAAAGGTCTTATCGTGGAATAATAAAGAGAGTTTCAGTTTGATAAACCATCTAGGAAGCAGCTGTTCCATTTTAAAATGCTGAAATCAAGACGGTTTTAAGTATTTGGTCATTAGTATTAAGTACTTTAAAAAACAAAAATTATCTACCTCTGATTACAAAGTCATCAAGGAACACTTTTTTCCCCAAAAGCAATCCTCTCTGACATGTTCTACTTTTTAACCTGTACGATTAGCATTCTTATAGAAAGGTATCCAATTCCAGCGCAACCACTGCTTAACAAGGAGACATCTGTATAAATGAAACCTTACAGAGAATTGAAAACAAAAGGAGTTTCTTTCATCGATGAGGGATGGAGTCAGTAGTGAGAGCTATGAGGAACACAGCTCGAAACAAACTTAAGAAGGAGAAGCTGAAGAGAAGGCCACTTGGGTCAAGAACAGGTGAATGGTTACCTGCTGGCCCTGCAGCCTCTGCTGAAGCTGCATTCTAAGTTGCTTGGGGGTGTTTGTCCGGGGTCTCATCATGTTGGCCCTTGGGTGCATTCCTTGGAGAGGAAAACTGCCTTGTTGGCTCATCTGATTCATCATAGAGTTGAAAGATGGTGATTGTCCCTGAAGATTAAAGCCTCCTTGCATCGGAGGGCCTGGTACTGGGTATGTCTGTCCATACAGTGCTGCCTTCTGATCCATAAGTACTGCTGCTTCTTGGCCTTGGAAAGCATCCTGTTTAGGCTCCAAAGCCTGTCCCTTAAACATTAAACACACAAATGAACAGTGAAGTGTATTTGTGAACGCAACAGAAACCCAATGCTTTAAAGAAAGTGAAAAGCAGACGCATTATTTGTGAACAATGATGCTGCAGAATTCCAAGAGCAAATCAAGTCATCTCATTGTTTGAAGGTCCATGAGAACAAAGACTACACACCATCTGTGCACAGCTGTGCCCTGGCCTAGCACAGACCCTCATGTGCTGATAGACACTCAAGTGGTTTTTGTGTCTACAGTGTATTAAATACCTGGAGAAACACTATTTGCTCCAGACCAGACTGCTGTACCAATAAACATGGACCTCCCAAGCCAAGTATAAAAAAACAGCAATTAAAACCACTGTGATTAATGAAGTCTCATGTAATTTGTACAACATTTTTGAAGGCAGCAAGAAGCCACTTTGAAAGAGACAGGTAAATCAATAAATGCTCACATTCTGGGGTACTTTCACCAGTGAACAAACCGCACAGTCGAGGAGTTCAGCTTCATAAAGGGGGAGCAGGGTTCATTCATTCAACAGGCACTCATTAAATGCTTGTTATCTGCCAGGCATCACTACTCTATATGCTGGGAATACGTGCAAAATAGCATCCCGTGGGAAAAAGAAGTAAACACAAGCATGCTGAAGGGGAGAGAGCCCACTGTGCTAAGCTAAGAAGCGGCTGTCAGGCAGTGGGCCTTCACCTTCATCTTCTCATCCACAGGCACTGAGAGCCAGGCATGGCGCCGACACCCCTGACAAGTCTCACTGATGTACACTTCACTTCACTGCTCCCTGCAATACATCCCATTTTCCTCCCACCTCTCTGGCCTTTCCTTGGGTGAATGTGAACAGTGTATCCAGGTTCAGACCCAGGCCCTTTTCTATTCCTTTGATACACATTCTACTCAGGCACTCTCATTCACTGGATTTTTGACTCCAGTCAAAAAGTCTCTGAACTCTACATTTTGCTTATGGAAATGTCTGCTTAAAATTTTCATCTGAGGCCAGGCTCGGTGGCTCAGCCTCTAATCCCAGCACTTCGGGAGGCTGAGGCAAGTCGACTGCCTGAGCCCGTGGGTTCAAGACCATCCCGGGCAACTTGGCAAAACCTTGTCTCTACAATAAATCAAAAAATTAGCAGCACACGCCTGCAGTTCTGGCTACTTGGAAGGCTGAGGCAGAAGGATTGCCTGAGCCCGGCAGGTCGAGGCTGCGGGGGCTGTGAGCATGCCACTGCACTCCAGCCTGGGCGATGGAATGAGACTGCAACACAAAAAACAAACAAAATCTTCTCCTGGGTGTCTCAGGTATCTCAAATTTAATATGCAGAAAACAGAAGCCATGAGTCCCAGCAGCCCTGCATTCTAAATGTCTTGCTCTCCTCCAGTGTGCCATATATCACAACACAGTCAGCCCTCCGGGTCTATGGGTTCCACATCCATGAATTCAACTAACGGGGACTGAAAATATTCAGAAGGGATAAAAAGAGTGGCCATACCTGTGCTGAATAACCAGGCTGTTTTTCTTGTCATTATCCCCGAAACAATACGGTATAACAACTATGCAATATATACAGAATTTACATTGTATTATGTATCATAAGCACTCTAGAGATTATCTGAAATATGTGGGAGGATATGCATAGTTATATGGAAATACTAAACCATTTTATATTAAGGGACTCAAGCATCTGTGGATTCTGGTATCTGCAAGAGTCCTGGGACCAATCCCCCATAGACACCTAGAGATGACAGCACATGGCACTCGCTGCCCCAGAACTAAAACCCAGCAAACCTGTTTCTTCACAGTCTCCCTTTCCCAGTTCACATGGGCATACACACACCACGTCCACCAAGTCCTGTGAGTTTTTTTCTCCAGATCATAATAATGCGTCCTTCCCTTCTTTTTGTTCCACGACCATGAACCTTTTTCCAGGACATCTCTTGAACTCTTAAAACAACTGGCATCTGTGCTTCTACTTTGTGCTATCATACCAACTCTCTTCTCCAGACAGCAATCTGAGACCTTTTTCTTAAGTGATGGGGTCTCACTATGTTGCCCTGGTTCCAGTCATCCTCACACCTCAGCACTCTGTATAGCTGGGACTACAGACACACACTACTATGCCTGGCTGATGGTATCATTTTTTTTTGTTTTGTTTTGTTTTGTTTTGTTTTGTTTT